ACTGGCCCGCTGGCGGGGTGTTCGCACCCCTGTCTAGCCGTGGGCGTGCGTGTGTGCCAACATGGGCTTGGTTTTGAGTCGTTCTGGACTCGAAATTCGGCTTCGTCTCTCATTGATGGATCCACTACTCCAGGCGGTGTTAGTTACTGGTTGGGACCTTGGACTGTTGTTGTCCCAGTTTGTTGGGTGGCTTGGGACAAGTGTCTTTCTGTGGCTCAGTTTTTCTTCATAAAGTAAAACTGACCACCCAGGTGAAGAGTATTGGTATCAAGGGAGAGTGCTACAGAAGAGTGCTTATCTTTATAATAAGTGATACGAGTAGAACTGTTCGCCTCTGAAGTGTTGTGCTTCTTTTTCTATACAACAAAATATACAATTTGTAGTGTAACTAATATTAAATATAAATACTTGATGTATTTGTATTATAATTATATGTACCAGTCCTCTGTAAATGGTATACCTTGGTAAATGCTATACCTGCATGACCTTTCTCAAGTTTTGAAAGGTCCCACAGATTCTAGAGACATACTGCATGTTATGCGCTGATATCTCATGTTGATGTTATTCCAGCTCTATCAGTGCAGCTTCAGTGTGTAAGTTGAGGGGCTGCTGTAGAAATAAAACATTCTGATAAAAATGTAAGTAACAATTAAATGTAGTATACTCTGGGGAAAAAAAAAAAAGAGTAAAATCAATGAAGAGGCTGTCAGTAGGAAGTGTTTCCATGCCGCTCACCTTGGTGAAGCTAGCATGTCAACTTTAATTTAATATATAGATCTTAAATGGATTAACCATCTTCTTACTTCACCTTTCTCCCCTGTTGTTGAATTACGTACTTTGCTGCTTTGTTCACAGGAAGTTCATGAAGTGGATCATGGTCTTATTAGCCAGCTATTTGCTGATTCAGAGGAGACTCTTAGTTCATGCACAGAGAAAATGCAGGGTCCTGCTCAATATAGCTGGAGTGCTGACTGGAGCTTTTGGGTAATATGTTTTATCTTTCTTCTAATTTCTGTTTTATTTATAAATATACGTGTATTTTAATTTATATATGTGTGTATATGTACTAGCTTTATATCCACAGTTCTCAAGTTGCTTTGTAGTCATGAATTAGTAAAGCATTCTCCACCCATGTAGTGAGGTAGGTAATTTTATCATTATCAGCTTACTAAAGTGTAAGATGAGACTGAGAGGGGGTGAAGTTGTTTACCTGATGTCATGTATTAAGTTAGTGGCAGGACTTCTGGCTTCTGTGCCCAATCCTGTCTCCCAGTTCCTTGCATGGTTCATTAACCTATCCAATGTCTCTTTATGCCTTTGGAAAGATATTGTTGATGCCTTTTAACAGTAAAGTCTGAATTTTGATTCTCAGTGTTGGGTAGATCTTCTGATGTGCTTTCCTAGTGTATGTTTTTGTCAAGTAAACACATTTGTTTTCCACAAAAGTAAATAAACTTCCTGTGTTCTGTGTAAAGAATGGGATTTGTGAATACGAAGGCAGAAAGGAGAGGTTTAAATTTGCTCCTCTCCAGGGAGATGCCTCACTGAAAGTGGAGGGTGTAATAATAAATGCTGTCTTTAATACTCCTATTATGCTTTTGATGATGGTTTTATCTTTTTTTTTTTTTCCCCTCAATGACATGAGAGAAGGTGAACTCATGGGTGTAGATGTAGAGTGTATGTTTTGTGATTAGTTTGGTGGCTAGGTTGCTGTTAGATAGGGAGGGGGAACACTTGTGTGTGCAGCCATGGTCAGGATAACACCTGATCTAGTGAAAGACTTTGATTCCCTTCCTCACAGCTCTGACAGTCTGACTCAGGTTCTACATCAGGTGGCCTCAGTAAATTGGTGTTCTTCAGCTTGTGCATAGAACATCATCTGGACGACTGTGTCCTTGTCCTCATGAGGTCATCAGAGTGTTCATTCACCATGCTCAGCAGGTGAAAGATTAAGTAACTAGCAAAGGCCGTAGGGAATCTGTGGCCAAGCTGCAAGCAGAACTGGGGAATCAGATTTCCCAACTCCTAATTTATAAATCCATCTTGTATGTCTTTCTTCCCTCCTGTTCAAATTAAGCAGATGTCCTAATAGAACATGGATTTTGCATCGCGGGACCTAGCATGGACTTCTTCCAAAATGCATGTGTGCTTTTAAACTGAGCAGCAGTAGTCTGGAGCCAATGGAGATGGGGCAGGCCAAATGAATCCAGCAGGTCATAGTACTGTGTTGCTAGAGAGCGAGTACCTGGCTTGTCCAGTATTTTCTCCACTGTTCCTACAGCAACAAAGATGGTACAGGGTTGTTCTGCCTGTGCCCGGCTGCATCTCTCTACTTGAACTGACAGCAAATCGTGCTGCGCAGACATTGTAGCTGCCAGCTATGCTCTCATTAGATGGCAAATTAGGTTGTGTAAATTAACTCTTGATGGCTTGTATTCAACCGTTAATGCAGTTGATCGTTTATGTGAGGAAGAATCCTGTTTAGGTCTTGGGGTCAGTTTGTTGAACTTGTGGTTAGCAACTCAGTCTTTCCTTGATAAGCTTGGCAATCTAAAAAGTCAGTAAATATATGAAGAATATCACTCTGCTATTGGCTTGTATTTTGGGGTTTGAGACAGATGCCAAGGGTTAGAAATCTCTTTGAACAGAGCTTTAGGCATGTACAGTGCAGGGTATCATGTGTCCTCACAGTGCTACTTCCTGCTTCCTGTAGTAATGCGTGCCTGTAACTTCAGGGGAATGGGATTCTTCAGTGCCGTGGCAGCTGCTAAGAGTGTGAGGTGCAGTCCGATATGATTAGATGGTTGCCTTCTGTCTATGATTTATCCTTCAAGAGCTCAGTATTTGTTTGAACTTAGTGTTTATCTGGTTCTGCAAATATGACCTTGCAGTTAAAACAAAGGAACTGTGTAAATACTTGTCTCTTTTAAGACTATGTTGTGGCTTGTAAAGTTCTAGATGTACTGTTTGTCACTGATTAGTTTTAAAAACCTCTACCAATCTGGTTGTGGGAAGCTGTGGTACCCATTTTCTCAGCCTCAAGGGGATTGAACTTAGACATAGCAAGAAGCAGAAGGTCACAAATTTGAGGCAAAAATTAAGATCTCTGAAATAAAATGTTATGTCATTGGCTTTTTTCCCCTGCTCTTCTAGACAGAAAATGTGTTTTAATAACCTTCATAGTTGATGATCAGCTGCTGACTGTATAAACAAATCATTGAGTCTCCCTAAGTACTGAGTCACAGTAAATGTGTAGGTGATAACACGGAAGGCGGTTTGTTCCAGTGTGCGAAGCATGTGTCACTAACATTTGACAAAGGATCATCTTGGTGTCCTGCGGCAGGCGTGGAGTTGTTACGCTCCTTCATCCTCTTGAGTCGGTAGAACTAAGGAATTACTGCAACAACAAGACTACCCTGCAGTAGCATCTGGGGATCGGCTTTGTTGTCTGTGTTATTTGCTTTGAGAGGCTGCACCTTTCTGACAACTTTGGTTTGTTCCAAGGTCTCACTTCTTCTCAGTATGTACTCTTGCTTCTCTGATGGAAACCAAATGTGGATGTTAGAGCCTGACTGGTTTGACTTCAATTTTTGATGTATTTGAGTGGGAGTAGGCAGTTGTGCCATGCCTCTGGAAGTCAGGCCAGGTATCATGAATGCTCAATAAGTGCTGTGTGCGTATGTAATTAGCAGCAAGTTAGGGCTGGGAGCCTCTGGGTTATCTCTTTCTGGCTATGGTGAGTGGGGAGAAGGAAGGGATAGCAGAAAAATTAGCAGGGAAGGAAGAGAAGAAGAGAATCCTACTGTGCATAGTTTTTTCCCCATCTCTCAATATATATATATATATACACTTTGGATAGCTTTATTAAAAAATTTGGAGGAAGAATTAATTTTCTGTATTACTGTAAGCAATTCTTAAACTGGTCGTGTTACTAACTGCTGTTTTTAAGGTGGATGGAGGGTTTTTTTGTTTGTTGGTTTGGTTTTTTTTTTTGAAGACTGTTCCCTGGGGATGGACAGCTAGACTTTTATAACTTCACTGGAGGAAGAAAAAAAGCTTGCTTGCAAACTTAATCTCAGGGTTTTCCCTCTTTAATGGAACCTGTAAAGCTTGCATCTGCTTTTGATTAAATATTTCTAGTTTTGGCAACTGCAAATAGAAATGATGGAAATCAAAGATGCTTTGGAAATTAAGTTACATCTGGAAGCCCTATCTCAAGATTCTGAATTCATTTTTTATCCTTTTTACACTCTTCATAATGAAATATAATTCAATTTAATATCCTTGGAAGAAATCTATGAAAGTCTGAAGTGTTCTCCTACTGTAATGAAGAAGGTAAAGGTGAATGAGGAAGCTAATGAAAAGGATCCTTGCATCAAAAGTGAGGGTGTTCTGTCTGGGAACTCTAGTTTTTATTAATAAACAGTCAAAGTTCATATATGTCTACAATAAGAAGAATGCCCGTGGAAAGAAGGAACAAAAAAGTAAGTCCTTCCCTTGCAATGAAAAGGTAGGTAGGTAGAGTTGAAATCAAATGAGCACCTCTCAGAAAATTGCTTTCATCTGGGAGGCTTGTTTAAGAATTTGGAAATGTGAGGTGCCAAGGAGGTGTATATAAGAAAATAATAGAAGCTTTAAAAAAGCCAGTTTGGTTGCAATGTAATGTCAGTTTAAAGAATTAGTCAGTGTGAAGGAGTGCAACAATAGAAGCAAACAAGTGGTACAGTGAAAAGTGAAAATAAGCCTTTTATTTTTCATAATACAGGAGTAAGTGAGGCTGCAGAGGATTTGGAAAAGCATTTGGGATTTTTACAAATGTGGAGTTGGTTTCTATGAGAAAGAGCTAGTCTGTAGGAGTGTGGGAGAATATGAATGCCAAGAATACGATAAACATATGACTCAAACCTGCACAGGAGGGATGCAGATATACACTACAATTTGGAAGAGAACTTATTGCAGCACAGTTAAAAGTTGACATACTTTAGGGCCCAAGACTAGTAAGGGTTCGATGAAATATTTCTTGCGTCTATAGTTGTTTGAATGCTCCTTCTGCCTTTCTCTGAAGACTCATGTTCACCCTGGGAATGGTTTACTGGGCTTGTTAAATGGATAACTATGTTTTGGCAGGCTGGTATTTAAGGCCCTCTGACAGTTGCTTCAGATCCTGTGTGGTGTACTTGTTATGTTACTTCTGAAGAAAGCTTTGCTTCTCATCTGTGCATCCACATGTCTCCATCATGGCTTGTGACATGGGAGGGGGATTTTTAGCCTTTTTATTTGCTGGTATCAAGCAATTTGCTAAGGAGGATGAGAATTGAATAAATGCTGTAGATCTCCAAAGAGAATGAAAATCTTAAGTGTACTTACCCTGATTTTTTCTGAAATGTCTAAACTGAACTTTAGTCTAAATAGCTTTTGCTGTACTTGTGGCACTGGTACATTGTTTGTTTACCTATCTGGAATCTAGAATAGGTGCTTTTTATTTTTTTTTTAAGCCCTGTGATAGCGCTGATTATACCGAAGCAGCATTTTAAAATGGTAAGAAAAGATAAACTCTGTAGTTCTGACTAGCCCTTGAATATGGCTGATTAGGCTAAAGTGTTTTTTCTCACTTCTTTTCACTCTGGGAATCTTTATTGCTGTTGATGCAGCAACAGACTTGATTTGTCTAGAACCTGAAAATTAAGTTTAATCAGGAAGAAAATACTTTAGGTTTGTGTGGTTTACTTTTTTCTTTTTTTAAAGTCGCTGGGAGCAAAACTGCTAGAAATGCAATAGAGTTCAGAAAATCAGCATGGAGTTGGTTGAATGGTGATACCCTTTTAATGAAAGGGCAGTTCTTAGCTCGTAGAATGAAAGGTTTAAAAGACAGCTCTAAGAGATCGAAGTAAGCTCTTTGGTCTTTGTGGTTTGGTTACAGCTTTTTTGTTCAGTATTTCTGCAAACAAGCAGTGGTGTAGCACTGTCTCTTTCAAGTCAGCTTT